CCCCAAAACCCCAAAACCCCAAAACCCCTTGCATCGTTATAATGCAAGATTACAGCGATAAACAATTTAAATAAATTTAATTCAGTTGCCTACTTAAGATAAAATAATAATATTTCGATTATAATGTCAGTGTAGAATAAAAGGCATCTTTCGAAGGCTATCAAGCCTACTTAGAATATCTACAATTAATAGCTTTCTTAATCATTCATAGAGCCGCAAACTATTAATAGCTCGTATACCAATAGATTATCTTCTAAGACTTAGAATACAAGGTAGCAATACTTTGCTATTGCTGAGAATTCGAAATAAAGCATCAATTATCAATTCAGCAATAATTATAGCTAGTAAAATAATCATTTAAGTAGTGTAACTGAAAAAAGATCTAGACCATAGAGCAGTAGGCCACTTCTTCTAGGGAAATAAAGATAACTTAGAGAAAGAGATAGCAAAGTATCGCTAATGAAAAATGATTACTCTCCTGAGATTAAAAGTACAAATAAATCTCCTGCAAACAATGAATCTTCATTCATTTATAACGCTTATGGGGGTAAAACAATAAGAAATGGAAGACCATTAACTGCTCAGAATCATCGAAAGGTTGGTAGTCAGCAATATTATTCAAAACATCAGAATCAGAACTCGATGTCGCAGTTAAGCTTTTTAGGAACTCCTCTTAAAGTCACAAATAAATCTAGGACAAGAGCTTAATCTGCCAAAAAGAGACCTCTCACTGCAGTGCAATCGAGAGGAAGAAAGAACTTCTTAAATATGTCGAATGATAATACATATAACCCAGTAGATAACATAAGCATAGATGTTTAAATGAAACTAAATGAATAAAAAATAAGGAATAAAAAGACTATTAGCGAGTTCACTTACTGTGAAAATAATGAGATCAATGATACTATATTGAAACTTCAAATGATTGAGAAGATGAAGCAGGAGAAAGATTAGCCTTACAAGAATATTGAAAATATAAATTGTAAGGAACTTATATAGAAAGCTAATAGAGATATTAAAAATCTCAACTACTAGATCTAGAGAATTGTCGCAACAGAAGAAAATAATCATACTGTTGTCTAAAACAAACGTTCACAGGATCTTGAAATTATTGAGCAAAGCTTAATGTACTTCAAAGTCCCTAGTAAGGGTTTTTCTTCACCTGTTAAGATATATGTTGAAATAAAGGAAACTGAGCTAACCAGAGGTAAGAAGTAAGATCTTAAAATGTATGTGTCTCTTAATTCTAAGGAGCCGAATGATCATGACTATCAAAAATACTTTAACACTGTAAGTATAAAGAACTTAATATGAATTACTTATAGTTTTTGAAGCCTAATTTCTTCTCATCACCCAACAAAGAAAAATTCACTCATGATTTTGTATACTTTAGTCTTTTTTCTATTACTGGTTGTTCAATCAATATTCAATTCATTTTCGCTGAGGAGAATATGAAATCAAAGCATAAAATAAATATCGAAGAAGATGGAACCTTTGAGGAGAAAAGAAGCTTTAGACTAAATAGAGATATTGATGATATGTCGGAAGATCAAGACCCATATTAACAAAGTAAGCATTTGAATCGCATTTATATACATTAGTTAAGGATAAATGGAATCGAATTACAGGGGATTTTATGGGTAAAAATGTTAGAGAAGTAGCAAACTGGGAAGATGCTGTTGTAGAAAAGTAGAGACGTAATATTGATTAAATGGAGAAAATAGTTTAAGCTAGGCAGAGACAAAAGGATCTTGAGCTTTAAAATTTGAAGCGGAAGTACTTTTTACTTCATAAATGGGAAATCATTAAAGTAAAGAGGTAGCAATATGAATAGATAGTTACCAAAATGAAAAAGCAAAGAAACTTCAAAAAAAGGTGGATTAAGTAGATGAAGATACATATGATTGCAAAACATATATTCGATGTGTTTGCAATCAAGCAGAAATAAGTTATTACAGAACTCAGATAAAATTATACTGTAAGACGGGTTGGACAGTTATTCAGAAGGTATACTTCAAGAATAGCCATAGATAGAAAGCATAGGGCATAAAAACGAATCGCTAATGTGTTTTCATATACTGTTTCACAGACATATGATACTGTAGAGCAAAGAGCAACAAAGATAATAAGGTCATTATTGCAAGAAACTTCAGAGATTCATCACATTAAAGTATAATTGAGAGTGTTCTATAATAAGATGCTCTACATTTAGTCAAAAGTTAGAGAAAGAATCCTATCATTCAAATATAGATGTGATGTAATAAAAGATCTATGGGATAAGGAGAAAGCAGGCATTATCAAAGATTGCATTACTAAAAAAACAAAGAAAAAAACTCTATTGATGAAAAAATTAAATCTTATGCATGATGACATTAAAACTGCAATGATCGAGGCTTACCTGGAGAGATGTAAATTGAAGTATTAATTAATTTTTGCTGAATGGAGACTTCATACTAAGTATCCCGTAGAAGATCAACAACTTTAGAAATAGAGGGAGAATATGGTGTATAAAATAATAAAGAAAAAGGATAGGTTATTTGCTGTTGAGTCATTATTATTTTCTGGAATAGATTTTGATGCAGATGTCTCTGCAAACTCTCCGGTAAAATAAAACCCTATCCAAGCACCTGTATAAAATGGATAAAGAAAGACAATAGTTGATTCAAAGAATAGCTCTAAGCCAGCTATGAATGCTAATCCTCGATCCAAGTCAGCATCTGTGAGTTAGGGAAAACAAATTCCAAAGCCATTACCTTAGGTCTAGTCGAAAACTAATATTTTAGAAAAGGTTTAATTTCTCCTTGATGAACCCCCAATCTTCAAATTTATACCTAAAAAAGAAATACTTAAAAAGCTTATTACAAAAGCTACCACTATAAAACATGCAAAAGAGTTAAAGTTATGAATAATATAAGAATAGAGATGCAATTTCAAACTTGATTCTCAAAACCAATAAATATACTAAAAGATATGTTTAATTTAAGAATAAGCTTATCTTAAAATCAAGCATAACTTTCCTAGTGGGGTTTTGGGGTTTTGGGGTTTGATTTAATTCT